AAAAAAAAAAAAATGTTGTCAGAAAGTAGAAGTAGAATCAAAAGATCCTGTTTGAATGTGGGTATTCTTTGGTCTTCTGGTGAATGCTTATAGATCTTATACAAACTGAAGTTTTAGTTCATATTTGGGGATTGATTTATTCACTGATTCATTATTATTTTTTGTTTCTATTAGATAGTATCATTCCATTTTCTGTCAACCATTTCATCTTCACCTTTGTGGGCTAACATATTTGTGCTACTTTTCATGCTATCTGTGGTAGTCAAGACAGAGAGATGCTTTGTTGACTTATAATCCATATGGTCTTCGGCACTAAGTGTATCTTCCTGTTGCCATTCTGGCCCTCAGAAATCCAGTTCTGCACTAAACCTTCAGCAAAGTTTTTGTAATACATTTAACCAGTAGTACCTTTTACTCACCAGCTTAACCCCAATCCGTCACTCTCTATTGATCTGGAACTCTTCCCCTTGGGGTGGCCAGCCCTGCGTGACCTTCAGCTCAGGGGCACATTCTTTCTTGCTTGCTCACTACTCTCAAGCCAGTCTGAGCACTAAGGTCCTTTTCCTTCCTATAATAGTCCAGCCCTTCCTTAATCTGTGATTTGCCTCTGGCTCTCCTTCACCTGTTTCCCAATGTGGACTTTTCTCCTCTATCAGTTACATCTCAGCCCAGATACCACCTAATTAATGATGACTTTCTTGACTACCATGCTCTTCTGTCATTGCTCCACTTATGGCCTTTATAATAGCATTTATCGTAACATTTTATTTTCATTTATTAACATAATAACTTCATCATGTCCTCTTTGGATCCTGCTACTGTGTAAACGTAATGAAAGGAAGGATTTCTTCTGTTTTGATCATGACTATTTCTAGAAATCAGAAGAAGATTTAGCTATTGGAAGGTGCTCAATAATCTCTCTTTAAGTAAATGAGTGAATTATATCTTTGCTATGGCTGTGATCTTCTTTTATGCTCTGAGTTGCTCTGTATTAATTGAAGACCTATCACGTGAAGGAATGTAGACCCCCGGGGAAGTCCAGATGAAGAGACACTTGGTCCCTTCCCCCTTGGCAGGTTTAACAGATCTGTGGCTGCTCTGCTGGGAGAGTTCCATTGGTGCTATGGATAGGAGGATTCTGGGGCTGTCTCTACTCATAAAAGGAGGCCCACAGCCTGGAAGAGGGAAGACGAAGTTTTCATGTCATAGGCATGTCATTCCTGTCTACTGACCTAACAAAACAGACGTATGTTTAGAATGCCTTTCTGGGAGATTTTTTTAAGCCTCTTGTATGTCATGCCACTTTAGCCATAGAAGTTTTTTTTTTTTTTTTTTTTTTTTACAGAGACAAAAATCACTTTGCTTCCTCTCACTCTCACACACCATTTCCCCTTCCACCTCCTCCACATGGCTCTATTGGCTTGGCACCATCCTTCATCTTTCAGCTAATGGTCTTTGCTTGAAGTCTTTCTCCATGGCTCTCTACCACTTTCTGGACTTCCCCTTCCAAGCAATTTCACATTATTGCCACTGTACAGGTACTACGTTGTTACTTGATTGGCATCTGTCTCTCCAGCTGGACTGGAAACTCCCTGAAGATGAATCTGTCTTTGTT